AACAAGGCGACAAAGTTTGATATTGAGACTTGTAAACGATGTCCAACTCTGTCTGCAGAAGTCGCCGCCATTTACTTCGCCACTTTCATCCTCATCCTCATTCCTCTCTACATCGCGGCCGTCCTGCTCACCCTCCCCCTCTGGCTCCCTTTGGTGGCGGCCTTCTTAGCGTTTTGTGGCGCCTTTGTGACGCACCTCCTGAGTATGGTCGCCGTCTTCTCTTTCGGAGCCTGCTGGATATACTCCGGGCACAGGTGGGTACCACGACCTGTGCAAAGCTTCGAACCTTCTAGGTCCAACTTAATGCTCCATCTGATTACTGAAAACGCTGGTGATGCATCTCTGGCTGAAAGATGTAAGGATTACGAGTTTCCCTCCGCGTATAACGAAGAGTGCATTCCTTCGCATGATTTTGCAGATCACTGAAGCATCCCACCGTTTAAGGTATCGTTGCACATCGCTGCAGTTCCGTTATCCGTGCTTTTAAGCTTAGAAGTCGCAACTTGCTTTTTGTCTTCCAGAATCCACCGGGGAGCATTGACCCCGAAGCAATTGGACGGTCCGGAAGAGCCGCCGATCGTACTCGAGATTCCTCCGGCCTTGTCAAGCTTCGGAGAGATGCTTGAGTGTCCCATCACCCGGGTAAGCATGACGTCACGTTGACTCGAAGTGATAACTGAACCGTATATTATAATATGGACGCCAGAAAGTAGTCGTCTTATGTTTACGATGAACCCTGGGTTTGAAAAGGGGAAGCCCTCGGGATGACGTGAACATTTGAAAGAAGTGCGAATAAGAACCCCTCTGCCTCAGTTGTCGAGACCTGTTTGAGGTTCTGGTGGGGTTGCGGCTTACGATGTGTTCCTGCCGTGCTTCTTCGAGTTACCTAGCTTAAGACGAAACACTTTGGTGTGGTATATGGCAATCCTCTGCTGTGACTCTTTCTATCTTCGTTTCCAAGACTTCAGGACTTATTCACCGCTCGATTCATCTTTGAGAAGCAGTGACGTCCTCTCCGCTCCTTTGCACCAGCAAGTCATGCACGACCCGGTGATCGCAACCGACGGCTTCACCTATGAGCGCTCGGCGATTGCCGCGTGGCTCGCCCGCAGTTCCACGTCGCCCATGACCAACCTGCCACTGTCCGGCGATTTCCGGCGGTTGATCCCAAATCGGACGGTGAAGGCACAAATCGCGGAGTGGCGGAACGTTCAGGAGAAACGGGTGGAAGCGCAGAAGACAGGCGTTGCGCTGCGGCTTTTGATCAAGCAAGTTGTTTCGGTTGCTGGAAACGTTGATACACTACTGTTCGGCTTTTTGGAAGAGCTGTGAGAGTACGTTGAGCAGTGCACGTTTGAGGACCAAGCGTTGCTAAGTTCTTAGCCAGGTCAGAGCACATTTCAAACGCTAAAATGTTCATCGAGCTCCACACGAGCCGGTTCACCGTAGTAGCAGAGGTTCCGGTTTCTGATCATGTGACGCGATTGTTGGACGGGCCCGCAGCATACTTAGTATGCTTATGGAAAGCTTTTGGATAAGATACGAAGCAGGACATGCGCGCCACCATCTGCGCGTTTCGCGGTTGATGGGCGTGCCGATCAAAAGTCGTCCTGATGCGAGTAAAAAGCATGCCGTCTAAGGAGTTTCGTATATGGAACGGCACAAATGTCAGCCCGCCTCGGTTGATTTTGCCGACTGCTGGCGCTGCTTGCAACATGTTGAGACAGCTAAGCCAGCGGCTAGCCCAACGAGGCATCCGCACGACGTCCACCTGCACACCTTCAGGATGGCTGCCTGTGTGCGGAGATACTGCAGGTCAGATATGTGTGCGGCGTTGCCCGCCGGCGGGATGCTATGCAGCTTCTCGGGCTCCGGCTGACTTCGGGGTGAAAATCGGTATCCAGCTCTCAGTGTTGGTGCCGCATAGAATAACGCAGAGTAAGTTCTCTGAGACGCGTGCTTCTTGCAATAGGCATGCCCAAACGAAGCAAGTTAAGCCATCGACCTTTTCGAGGCTTTGATTTTCTGCAAGAGAACACTGGTAAGCGAAAGGTGAAAGCTCACGCGGTACGCTCAATTACGCACGTTTGCTCTGGACGACAAGCACACAACCAAGCTGCACCAATGCAAGCTAGCCGCAGAGCAGAGCAAAGTCAAGATTTGCAGTAGGTTGATACGAGCGCGCGCGCCGGCGCCGAAGTCAGATCTGCGGCCGGCCGCGGGTCCAAGCTGGCGGCCGTCCCATGCAGCCACCAGGTGGCAAAACCGTACCATTGTGTAGCCGCGGCCGGCCACGCGCATGAAGGCGGCCGCCAGCGAAGCGGCTTCGTCGACTTGATCAAAATGAGAAAAGAAAGTGGCTCAAAACTCTTCGCGAGTAAGATTAAGACCTTACCTGTGGATAGATCGAACGAGGAGCTCAAGGCAAAGGCTGCAGAAAGGAGGCGCTGCAGCGATGATCTCGTCGCGCCACAGCTGCAATCGAGTCGCCTGGCAATCAAGCTAACTTTAGGGGGTTTTGGGGATCTCTTGCTCAAGAAAGGACCCGGTCTCCTCAAAGTGCCATCGTGCATGCCAGACCCCAGCGTCGATAGCAGCCTGAATCTCAGCAACCTTGAACTAGTTCGAAGTTTTCGAGGTGCCATTCTCGCTGGTAGTGACCTGCTTACTTTGACAAATCTGTTGAGGGTACAACATTGGAATTCTCTTGCCAGATGATGCGGGTTGCTGGCGTCAAAACCTGGTCAAGATGAATGTTCGAAGACCTTGGCTCTTCGTCAAATTTGAGGTTCCTCAATAGATTTGAGGAGCTACGGAAGTGAGAGGTAAGGGAAGATCAGATTCGTTATAAAACAAGGGATGAACGCAGCACATGCCAGTAGGCATGCTGTCGGTGCTGAGAATGGCTTCAATGAGATATTAAGGTAGATCAGATGGGTTTTGACGCATAATTTCGAAGATAATTTATCAGAGGGTTCATCTGCATCGTATCAAGCTCAATAATCAAATACGGGAAATCAGAATATTTGGGTGACTGCATTCCTCCATGGAGTCACAAAGATCAAGTGGCATGATCTGAGATTCTTCGATCAGAGAGAATGAGAGAAGATAGATACTACTGCAGCACAAATCCAGGCTTACGAAGGCCTTGAGATTTCCAGCAATTGCTCTCCAGCTGGCATGGACTATCTTATCTACTCTGAACATCAGTTGGCGTACAAAGCTTCTGAAGTGATTTCTTCTATACACGTGGAGGAGCTTTGAACACTTTTGAGGACTAGAGTGCATCATTGCACATGCAGACGAACTCTCGAGAGCTTTTGAACCATTATCAGGTCTCTTTCAAAATCCCCAAGACAACAATAGCTAATCTAACAAGGAGATCAATGAAAGTGTACTGAAGCGGTGTTCTCACAGGTGCTAACATCTCCTGCCTGCAAGGTCCATCTGCCTGCCATGGGTAGCAGAGGTTTGAAGACGAAAGAGCTCTTCAAGGACGCTGGCATGCACAGGGAAGCAAGATTCATCGTAGCCACGTAAGTCGAAAATCGCCTTTAAAAACGCTGCTCAGGTGACTTGCTTAACCGACAATGAGACGGTCCATCAACACAAGGGGTACATAAGTTTGACAGAAACCTGCCGCTGACCTACTCCTCTGTGGGTCGCATTTTTGAGTCTATTTTTGGAACAATTGCGTGATTTCTGGGGCTGAAAAGTTAAACAAGATGTGCCTGGCAAGATGGGGTTCCTGTGCTCTTGGAGGTCGAGCAGAGCTTTGGGTACTCAGACAACGCAGACTCTCGTGAACGCGTCTCATCGTGACGAGATCTGCTGAGATCTGCATCATGTGTCAGAATATGCAGTATCTGCAAGCTGATCCCTTCGAAAAAGGTTTTTAAAGGCAAAACACAGACACTAGTTGCACGAACGCTGAAGGCACTGACCTGAACGCATCCCTTCGGCTTTCAGCCGCATCTGCAGGTACCTCCTCAGTCTCAGCTTCCTCTCCGGCAACTTCTCCGCCCTTCTTTGCTTCTTCCTTTCGGGTGAGTGGATTCCGCTGTCACAATGCTTGAGTTGGTCCCGGCTTGTATAATAACGCAGTCCAGATTGACGTGTTCTCGATTGGAATCGGAAGGTGGAGCATCTGATATGCCGTAAACAAACTCGAGTTGTTAACGTGAGTGCGCACCGTGCAAACACATACCGACGCTGAGTTCCTCTTAGCTGAGTCCACAGCTTCTTTGACTACTTCGGTGCACTGTTTATCCTAGATTGCTGCCGGAGGTGACCGTTGAAAAGCGTGGCTTTTCGCTCCCTTCCCTTGGGGGTACCTATTCCTCCATATGAGACTTCTAGAAAGAACAGCGAATCACACGTACTTCTTTGCAGTCCACCGACCCAACAAGGCAATGAACCTACATCAAAGCACCTACATCAGAGCTAGTAAGGAGATTTGTGCTCTTTCCAATCGCAGGAATCGCCGCCTTTTTCTTCGCCACATTCATCCTGGTCCTCAGCCCCCTCTACACCGCGGCCATTCTGCTCACACTCCCTTTCTGGGCCCCCTTGCTGGCGACCTTCCTGGCGTTTTGCGCCACCTTTGTGACACACCTCCTGAGCCTGGTCGCCGTCTCCTTGTGTGGGGCCTTCTGGGTCTACGCCAGCTTCAGGTGGGGTCGATATTTGCGGAGCACGGAGCTTGAAAAGCTTTGAAGTTTCGGACTTCGATCCATCTGTCTTTTCAGAGTCACAATTGTATGATCGTTCGAGACTCTTTGCGTGAAATCATGTTCAGGTCTTGATTAGAAGGTAACACAGATTAATGAAACACCCCAAAATTGTCACTCCGTTGCACGCGATACTCTAGTCCCCCTTCTCTTGACTTCGGGCTGAGCTAACAGGAATTGCGTGCCATCTTCAGGATCCAACGGGGAGCTCCAGCTATTCCGCAACGATCGGACGGTCCGGAAGAGCCTCCAATTTTCGTGCGCGAGATCCCTCCAGCCTTGTCGAATTTCGTAGAGATGCTCGAGTGCCCTATCACAAGGGTAAGCATGACGGCAGGTCGGGAGCAAGTGTACAAAGACGCTTCCCGTCGGGAATACAAGTCGAAGGTCGACATGATTGATAGTCTGAGATGCACTCAAGAGTTTCACAAACGGCTGCCAAAAGAATTGCAAAGCATGTTTGCTCCGGAGGGTCCCCTCAGAAGTGACTTCGAACAAGCTGAACTTTCGCGACGAATTTGATCTTCCTTTTGCAAACCTGTCCTTATTGAAGCCCCTGCGACGCTCGCGGTTCTTCAGATGGTTCCGGCTGGTTCTACGACCCAGCAAGAGTGCTCCAGACTTTTGTCACAACCTCTTCAAAATGACGTGCAAACTTCTGCCCCAAGTTCGTTGTTCCCGTGTGCAGATTGTTCCATAACCCGACGCACTTCTCAACCGTCATTGATAGGCACTGACGTCATTTCGTCCCCACTCTTTTGCACCAGCAAATCATGCGCGACCCGGTGATCGCAACCGACGGCTTCACCTACGAGCGCTCGGCGATCGCCGCGTGGCTCGCCCGCAGCCCCACGTCGCCCATGACCAACCTGCGGCTGCCCGGTGATTGGTGGCAGTTGATTCCAAATCGGACGGTGAAGGCGCAAGTTGCGGAGTGGCGGGAGATGCAGCAAACACGGGCGAAGGAGGAGAGGACGTCGGACTTTGCGTTGCGGCGTTTGGTCAAGAAGGTTGCGTCGGCTGCTGGGAGCGTCGACACGTTGCTCTTCGGCCGTTTGGAGGAGCTTTGAGAGTTTCTTGAGCAGTATGCGTTTGAGGACAGGCGTTGCTGGGTTGTTATCCAGATCAGAAGAGAGCCAATGCCCGCTCAATGGCTAGAATGCTCATCAAGGTCCTCATGAGTTGAGCCGATTGAACGTAGCAGCACAGGTCTAGAGTCTATGATAACGCGATTTCTGATCGTCGGGCCTCTGAGCATTGTGAGATTTGTCAGGTGAGGCGTTGGAGATATAATTCGTAGCAAGAAGGCACGCCACTCTTTTCACGAGAATTGCAATTGTGGTTGATCGACGGGTTTAGCAGAACCAGGCAGACAGTAATTAACAGTGAACGGACTTAAGCAGCGCTTAGGCAGATTTCCAGTTGCACAAATCTCTGCTCGCCGTGTGTAATGTTGCCGTTTGCGCTCTGGCAACCATTATGCAAATCGAGAGACCCGAACGCGTCTGCGCTGTGCGACATATATATGCACAAGGGGCGCGTCGGCGGCATGCCATACGAGCAAGAGACAATGCATCATGCAGCTTCTAAGTTAGGCGCGTCCCGGAATTGCGGGTACCGTCACACTGCATAAACGGTCATTGGGCGGACATGCATGCATGTATGTGCACCGTATGTGCAGCGTTTGTGGGAGCTATTGCTCATGTGGAGATCGTTGCGCTAGCCTACATATTGGACATGCTAAGCGGTCTGACTGAGCATCCACCTTACATATATGCACTGAGTGTTTTTTTGCATTTAAAGTCCTAGGCCGGGCTAGCCTGCGATCGATTCACTGGGGTTACAGAAAGCTTAGCTTAGTAAGGGCCTGGCCATGTCCAATCAAAGTTGGCAGGCTTTGACTACAGGCATTGTGGCCACGGCCGCTGTCACGGCATCATCGAGTCGGCAGCTCGTGGTACATGTCACATTAAAATGATCGAATTAACAGGCCGTTGCTGTCTGGGTACAGTCATTTAGGCAACGCTCTACTCGCTCTTCTACGCCGCATGCGGTTTGGGGCAGCATGGCCGAGAATGTCATTAATTCTAGACGCATTCGTTCCGCATGCTCAAGCTCAGTGCTTATACTGGAAGACGTATCATGTAATGCCCCCGACCAAGCCACGTGGCTGCTCTATCCTGGCCGCGAAATTACGGCTGTTGTTTCCCAGGGAGACGAGGAACGGGGACATAGCGACCACCTCTAATCGGCACTTCTGCCCCTCGAGGTTGGTCAATGTTGTGGCTGCTGCCCACAACCGCGAATAATCCCTGCGATATTCAAAAGGAAGAAATCTTTCAAAGTTGACATTCTCGACTGGGCTGAGAGGAAGAACAGTCTCTTCCTTTCCAAGAAGGAAAGAACAACCAAGAGGAGACCGGCGGCGAGTTGACAGCATCAAGGTGAAGGGTTGTAAGCTCTCGAAGTATGTCCCTCTATCTGAAATGGGCTTGTGCGAAAACGGTTTGGGAGCAGCTTTGTTGATTGAAGAAGGGATCAGACCACCATACAGGCCAGCGCGCGCTTCTTTGGCGCGCGCACACTGTGACCAGGATGCCTGCCGGGCTATGCCACAGATTGACTGGGCTTCACCGATCAATACGTCTGCTTTCTTAACCTAAAGAATCTCAACTTTCGATAGGAATCCGAACCTGGGCCGGCAAGAAGAGGAGAGAAAAGAAAATGAGATTTGACTCACTTCCGAAAACACTTGACAATGTGCACCCCCCTATCGGGTAGGAAGCTCAGGTCCTCAATCTGAAGCGCGCTGCCTGCTGCACCGTATGCTTGGACCAGTGCTGCCGAAAGGCAGCTAAGAAACTTCTGCGATGACTCAACGGCGCCTGGAGAACCGTCGAGAGTCCTGCAGGACAACGAGTGATCATGACCTAGTTCCTGGCTATGTTGGAATCTTGAACCAGCTCTGCATTGGAGCTGGCGAAAAGTTGGGTGAGGGATGTGAAGAGGGAATGTACTGAATCAGCCAGAAAGAGGAGCAGTTCAGAGTTCAGTGCGCACAGGGAAAAGAAATACTGAAAGACACCCACAGCTGAAAGCTGTGCCCACAACCGCTAAAGACCACTTTTGTCTGAAGTGTGCACAATTATGTGTTACAAGTGCTTGTACTGCAGGTCAAATATTGTGCAGCGCCCACAAGTGCATCGCTATGCATTCTGTCACTCATCAGGGCAGGATCCTTAGCTTGCAAAATTCAACTGCCAGGAAGTGCCACCACAACCGAAGACTTACATTCTGATCTGCAGATAGGTGTAGATACACCTCAGGGTCAACGTCTTCTGCTTGTGACAGGTGGCAGCTTTCTGCTGGCCGTTTGAATCTCCACCCGGAGCACTATCTATCTCCATCTATGAGAGTATGGGCTGGCGTCAGCGGCCGCAGCTCACCAAGGCATCAGCAGAAAGATATGCACACTCAGCACAGGAAGCTTTGGGTGAACCGCCAAACAAACAAGCAGCAGTGGTATGTCCAAAGAGCGCCACTGTGTGCTGCACCGCGGCTCTCAGCGAGCCCTGTCTGCTTTCCTTCAGTGTCAAGAGGTGTTTGAGGCCCTTGAGTTTCCAGTGGAGAACCGCTGACAGCCGGCACAAACCCCAATTTCTTCTGAACAGCACAAATGCAAACACTCTGCACTGGGACTCAAGGCGCACTGCCCATCACAGCGCCAAGAAGGACATTGCTGTGCTCGGTGCGGCTTCTCGTGCTGCCCTCCTGCTTTGCACCACCTTCACCTTCGCCCCTGAGGTTGAAGGAGACGCTGCCCACATTGCATAATGCTGGTGACAGCTGGCAGCTCTGAATGTCCAAAGAATCAAGTGTTTTGAGCTTGCATTGCAGAGCTTGCCGACATCCCCCGGATTAGA